TCGGTGCTCTTGGCAAGAATTAGCCATCTTTCTTTCCTGCAACATCGCTGTTGCATTTTTTTTTCATGTTTGGTGTGTTTGTGTTGCAGCTTACCAGGAATAAGTGCCTTGAAGAAGGCAAGACTCACTCAATCAAACTATCAGCAGAGCAGAAAACTGTGTAGCCAAACAGCAGAAGTCCTCACTTGTTAGTGTGGCACACATGTTGCAGCACTCTTGCTCTTGTAGATTGGTCTGGTGAACGAAGGAGAACGGAGTTTAGTAGTGCAGCGCCGTTGGTCCAGTGGTAGGATCGCCGCCTCCCACGCGGCGGGCCCGGGTTCAATTCCCGGACGGCGCACACCTTTTACTGTCTACTCTTTTCCTTGCCTGCTTCCTCATGCAAAAGGGGGACGTCACGGGAGCACAGCAGGTGGGTTGAGGAGCTGCGCTCGGTCGCAAGAGGGAATGGGCTCGCCCAGTTCGTCAGCGGCAAAGGAGATGAAGGTGCAGTAGCCGTCGGTCGATGTCACTGCGAGCATCTGTCCGTCGCTCGCCCTGATGTGTGCATTGCATTCATTAGGTCGATGGTCTTCAGACTGCAGCTTTTTACTCACGCGTGCATCAGTCGGGGAACGAACCAAGAGAGATCAGTCTGTGAGGCGTAGTGTAGTCCAGTGATGTGGCACAACGGATAGCCGTGCTGAGTGTCATATACGAGCACGCTGTCGAACGTGGCAACGGCAAACACCCTACGAAAGGAAGAATCACGTCAACATTCTGAAGTGAGTACCGGTACGGCAGACAACCCTGGGCCAAGCGACCAAGGGAAGAGGGGGGGGGTGTACATTCTGTAATCGAGCTTGAAGGTGGGCGTCGTTTCCGTTGGTCGCAGCTTGTAGAGCTGCGGGCTGAAGCGCACGGCCACCGCTGGCTTGGGTCCGCACGGGAGGCACAAGGCCGGCCTGCAAGATTTGAAAAGGGTTGGTTGAACGTGTTCGCTTGCGTCAGGTTTGCCTACGCCAGTACCTGTTCAATACGCCTCTGGTGAAGACGTAAAGGCAGTTTGATGGCAGGTGCTCAGGAGCGACATTCTCCTTATCGTCCGGCATTGGCGCGCTGCTGCTGCTGCTCGCGCTACTACTGCTGGTGTGTACGAATACAGGCGATCAAACATGGGCGTTTACCACACCATGCAAACATCAAGCACGCGCGCGATAAGCGAGCGTACGGGCCAGACGTGGCGTAGAACTGCCCCATAGGTGTCACCAACAGACTGCCGTCCAGGCTCCAAGCCAAGCGGCGAAAGAATCTGCATACAATGAAGATGAGGAGACAAAATGAGAATCAAAAGTAATAGAACAAGAGAGTGGTACGCACGATGGGGTTGTCTCGTCGAGGAACAGCTTCTGCTTGTGCGTTTGCACGGGGCCTGAAGCCGCCTTGACGAAGACGAGGGTCAGCGAATGTATGCGTGCCCCGGGGCCAAGTTCTGATGTGTTCATACCTTGGCCTCAAGTCCAGGCGCCGAGGAGATGACGTTGGCCGTGACCAGTTTGGAGTAGACCACCTTGGCCGGCGAAGGCGCCGTCGCTGGCACGCTGACACCGGACTCCTCCTGCGCTGTATCTTTCTTCACGGCGGGCTGCGATCGCGCCGCCTTGTAGATGCGGACAGTGCGGTCAGAGCTCTGCGTAGAGAGGTACCGGCCGCGCGGGTCCCAAGCCACGCCCTGCGCGTACATGCAAGCACAGTGTGAGCACTACAGTAGCGGTAAATGTGAGACATATGCCATTACCTGAACGTAGTGCGCGTGGTCCGACATCTTCTGCATTAGCCGCCCACTGCTCACCTCCTGCAGCAGCGCAAGCGTATGACCTGAGTGAGTAAAGTT